TCTGTGGATATGGCTTGCAACAACGATCGTCCTCTTTTTTGTAGTGGCGGTCGTGCATTGGCGTCAATCGCTGCATCTTAAGCTTTCCCCATACGTCGCATTCTTCTTACAGTCATTGCTTTGAAGGGATCAACCCACAGAGCAGTGGAGCAGTCGGCCATGGAGCATGTACAACGGACGTCGCGTAAGGCCTTCGCCTACGCCAGACTGAGCCTGCTGGTATCAATACCAAACCAACAGTTTGGTTTCGCATTTCTTACCCAGTCGACCGCTGCTGCTGCAAAACTCCACAGTGTCAGATGCTGGGATTGAACAGGTACTAGTTGATTGTGTAGGGCATCTGGCTGGGTGGCCGGTGTGTTATATATGGATTGGGAGTGCTTGATGTTGGCCTAATCATTTGTGGAGCTATTAGTATTTGGTCAATGGCTTTGGGTGTGTTGCTTGCTACTTTCATTTCGGCGGACATCATATGCAAAGAATCGTATTGCCAGCTGTGTACGCTGATCCTCTGCACAAAACGTCCACCTGTGCCAGGCAGCATGACTGTGCAAGCAGACTAGGTTGTAATGTATGTAGAGGGTTTGAGTGCTGCATCCTCATTTGTATCTATTTGAATCGTCCCTAGGGCGTACGTTGATTTCACGTGGCATTTCGTGGTCGATGGGTGACAAAACGGAACGTGCAGATGCACTACGTTGTTGAGTGGCAAGGAGATGCTTTCTACATTATTGAGGGACTGCATTCTAAGCAGGCGCCCCAATACCAAACTATGCATAAACCCATTTATGCGTGAAGCATGAATGGATTCATGCGTGGAGCATGAATGGATTCACGCGTGGAGCATGAATGGTTTTATGCATAGTTTGGTATTGGGGCACCAGTTTAGAATGCAGCCCGTCAGTAGACAACTGAAATAACATATGACTAAAGGGGTCGCCCCACGCATACATAATTTACTGCTGGCATTGAAATTGGTATTTCAGTGATTCTTGCTTCACGCATAAATGGTTTTATGCATAGTTTGGTATTGGGACACCGGTTTAGAATGCAGTCCTTCAAAAGTCTAGAAGCATCGTCTTGCCACTCAACAACGTAGTGCATCTGCACGTTCCGTTTTGGCTTGTGGAAGTTGCATTATTTGATGGCCGCCTGGTTTATGTTGATGATGAGGTTGTTCGAGCATGGCAGTTCTGATGCTAGGTC